TTGATTTCTGTCTTGATGGGTTGTACAGTCTCTAGGTAATAGATCCTACATATAACATGTAGGTACATCCATCCTATGAATAAGACTGTCTTCAAAATAGTTTTATCAATGACTAAGTTGAAGATAGCCATCAAAAAGGAGCCTGGTATTGAAGAAGCATGTTGTCTCTGTTTGAAGCTGATAGAAGATGTTGTGCATGTGGTATTTCTTGTGTGAAGCCAGTGCATTAATATGCTTAGCACTGGGTAGTGATTGATTGTTGTCTTCGTCCAGGGGAGAAAAATTTAATCAGGTAAAGCTGATGGGATCTAGAGATTAGTGCACTCCATATACAACATTTGTGCTTGTATGTGTGTACCTCTCTGCACCCGGAGGATAATAGTAAATTTAACAAACTGATCATTTAGGTTTGAGCCGCTAAATCTGTCCAGTTCATCCATTGTTTGGGAACTTGTAAGTGTGGTGTATGGTTCCATAAGTTGTGTATGGTTCCCGCCAATAAAGAAAAATAGGACAGCTAGGTTTGTACCCCTAGTTGTGTCCAGTTGGTTGTTCGGTTGGCAGAATACACTGTATTTGATTGCCTGTAGCCTGCTGGTTGTTATGCCATATTAGGAAACTAGGTTTGCCTGTAGACATGACAAGCATGTCTGAATGTCTTATGTGACCCAAAATGGCATGTTGAATTTTGCATTCCCAGGATGATTGGTAAAATTTCAACAGAATGAGCTCCTGAAGTACTGATACCATACATTGAGAAATCACCAATGATCTAGGCCTACCCTTTGTACCTGGAAAATTCGACAAACAAGTTAGAAATAAGGGGTCCCAGGTATTTGTTTCAATAGACTATGATCTGCAGCATTGTGTTTCCTTCTTTCCTGTAAGTTGCTCTCAGATTCTTGTGAGTTGTGATAGTACAGTGAAGAGAGAAGCTACTATTTGGGAGCAAGTCTATGGTGACCTTCGATGAAAGGAGTCAAATATATGTGTCTTTTTGTCTTCTGTCCAAGGATTGTGGGTATGCAACACTATTCCCAGGTTCTTATGGATTCTGGGATTTGGTATAATGTGTGGGATAATAGCTATGGAATGGAATATTGGATCTCCTGAGGGTGGGGGTAAGTGTTAATGTGTTTGTAGTAGTGTTGAAATACAGTAAGGCTATTGCAACAGGCTACTAAAGGTGTACTGATATTAGAGTGATGTGCTAGTGTTTTGTTGGAATGAAGTAAATTCTTATGTCTTGATGATGAGTTCAACTCGAGAGGATTTAGAGATTGCATAATGGTTGCGACCATGAGGGCGTCATAGTGAGATGCCGGTTTGAGGCTAAGAAGATGGAGTATCTCCTGCGGGTTGTTCTGAGGTTGTGTGATCCCTATTGTCACGTTCCAAACTCGGGGAGCGCGACCGGCGCTCAACCGAGTGAACCCGGCCGAGCAAGCCTGTTAGATTTTCTTCTAACCAAACTCATCCATGAATAAAGAGGAGATGTACTCCATTAATCAAACACTGAAAAGATTTCATTAACAACTCTCATTTCATTTCCATTAGCAGCTTCATTCATGATTTCCAAAATATTACAAGTTTATAGATATAATAAAAAATATGTTTTGCCAAATACCAACATTTCTAGTTCAATTCAAACATTCGACTACCACCCACAACCTGTCTACGGAGCCTCTAAGTACAAAACAAGAGTAATATGGAAGTACCGGTAACAAAGCCCCGGCTATACCTCAAAACACAATGTACAACTCAAATGACATCAGGCCCGGAATAGAGTAGGGCTCACCAAAACATGTTGAATAGAGAGCGACTGCTAACGAGGACCAAAGCTACCCACTGATGAACCACCTGCATCCATTAAAGATGTAGCGTCCCCGGCTAAAGGGACGTTAGTGCATATGGAATAGTACTAGTATATAAAGCTAACTGTCCTCTTTCAAAATAGAATGCCAATGTAAGAAAGGGAAAACCATGGAAATGACAATCAACAATCAATAATATCCAAATGCCAAGTTAAAACATAATAATTTTCAAAATATGAAAATAACACTGTGAAGTGATAATTTTTTATAGTATTATTTTTGGTTGGGAGAATCTTTAGCATTGATATACCACAGTTCGCAATACCATTGTTCACAATACCAATGTTCACAGTACCAATGCTCACAATACCAATATTCACAATACCAATGTCCACAATACCACAATACCAATGTCCACAATACCAATACCACCATACTTTTAGCACGAAGTCCGATCACGACCCGATCGGCTAGGCCATCTCATTAGAGACATCAACCACAATCACTATCAATATCACCGTAATTTTAGCATGGAATCCGATCACGACCCGACCGGCTAGGCTATCTCATTAGAGACATTAACCACAATTATTATCAATACCAATACCACCGTAATTTTAGCATGGAATCCGATCACGACCCGACCGGCTAGGCTATCTCATTAGAGACATTAACCACAATTATTATCAATACCAATACCACCGTAATTTTAGCATGGAGTCCGATCACGACCCGATAGGCTAGGCTATCTCCTTAGAGACATCAATCACAATTACTATCAATACCAATACCACTATAATTTTAGCATGGAATCCAATCACGACCCGATTGACTAGGTTATCTTATTCGAAACATCAATAAATATTGGGTTCGATAGATCTGGATACCCCTCCGCATGAAGGTTACCCTATAAGTTCTATTACTATTGAAATTATTTTAAATTTTTAACTTATTGCGTAAAGTATTCTTCAAATAATTAACAAAGCAAAGTTTGCCGCCCAACTAACCAATCAAGATTTCCAAGTTTGATAGGTGTTCAACAAGTAAAGGATTTTATTTTGTTAAATCATCAAAAGTATAGTTGGGGTAGGAAAAAAAAGGAAATAACAAATCTTAGTTCAACTAGGTTTAGGTAAAATGAAAAAACTTGTATATAAGGGGTTTAATTAGATTATAATTTGCAAATTAAGCTTTGTCTGAAATAATATCTTCAATGGCATCAAAAACAACAATTACCAGATTATTAATTCTTCTCTTCGTTTGTAATTTTTTTAGCCTTTCAACCTCAATTTCTTCATTTAATTCCAACCTTACAAATACATTATTCGAAAAACACTATGTTTCAATGTCAATTATTCTTGAAAATACCCTAAACCGTCTTATTTCTTCATCTCCTAATACCACAACTTTCACTATCTTTTGCCCTACTGACGATGCTTTAATCAAAATATTCCCAAAATATTCCGACCCTCCTTATAAATTAATTCAATATCATGTTGTGCCTTCAAAACTTGATAAAGAAAGTCTTGAAATTTCTCTTCCTTTAGGCTCAAAAATTGACACTCTACTATCTCGCTATCCTGTTGTTGTTACTACGTTGCCTCGCCACGAAAACGCTTCTATTAACAACGTTAATATCGTCGAATGGGATGTTTATAACGATGAACGTGTGATCGTGCATGGTATCGATGATTTTTTTTATCCTGCATTCGAAATTTTACGTTACTCTGGCCATGATATTGATAATAGTTCAGTTATAGAGAAAGATAGCAAGAGGAGCTATGGTTATATTGAAAGGAGTTTTTTGCTAATTGGATTGATTATTGGATTGGTTATCTTCTCATTGATTCTGATATCGGAGTTATGGTTTTTTCTTATGTTCATGTTCAGTAGTACGCAGGAAGATGGTGGTGAAAAAGCAGAAGAGGATGAGAAGGTTTCGTTAGTATAGCACGTGCAAGCTGACCCGAACACCACTATTTTAATTTTAAAAAAAAGGGTTTCATTTGCTATAGGATTAGGGTTTCATTGGTATAAGGTGTGTTCAATTAATTTGTGTAGTGAGTTCTTTTTTTTTTTTTAGTTTATTGTATTCTTGTAGGAGTAGCTTTTATTCATTAATTATTAATAGAGTTTCATATGTTCAACTTACTAAGGTAAACGAAGAGAGGAAATATGTACTTTATCTTTATATGTTATGTACAGTTGATATTATGGTTAACTCGTAAAGGATCTTTTTGAAGAATTATGTAAAGTTTATTTACATTTCAAAACAAAGAGGTCATTAACTAGTAATACTAATTTTAGTAATTTCAACAAGTATATACTGATAAGTTGTTTTATGCAGTTAAATCTGTTTTAGTTAATCTTCTTTCTATTATAGTTCAGTTATTCAATTTAAGAGAAGGTTTATACTCGAGCATGGACTCCACGACAAGTTTTTCTTTTAAACGATTTACTAGCTCCCTAATTCAGTCCCTCTCCTTCTTTTTTTTTTTTAAAAAATAATGGTGGCGTCTGGATTAACTTGACGAACTTCAACAATTTCACGGAGTACTTGTTACCTCACATTTTAATTGTTTCAGAGATGACGAAACAGTATTATCCCAATGACCAATCACAAAATAACCACCAAACCCCCCCTAGGGGCGGCTCAAGCATATGCGGGGCCTAAAGCCAACGTTTAATATGTGGCCTAAATTTTAAAAAAAAAGTTATACGATATGTTTTTATTTAAAATCTATTTTTTCTAATTTTTTTGCGATACAAAGTGTTAATAATACTTTTTATAATCGATTTTTCCTAATAATTCATTTTCAATTGATAATATAGCCAACTCATTTAATCTTTCTTGAAATATTGTTAATTTTAGATAAATTTTATAGAGCAATAGATGAATAAAATAGAGACTCGCTTTCGGTGTTTTGTGTGACAAGAAGGTGCCACCGAAACTTAAGGGTAAGTTTTATAGAGCGATGGTCAGACCAACGATGTTGTATGGGACGGAGTGTTGGCCAGTCAAGATCGCTCAAGGTAGCACAGATGAGGATGTTGAGATGGATGTGCGGGCACACCAGGTTAGATAGGATCAGAAATGAGGTTATTCGCGACAAGGTGAGTGGCCCCTATTGAGGACAAGATGCGAAACCCCAACCCCCCACCCCCCAAAAACCAACAACTTAGTAGCACAGAAATCATAACTAGATTTCATCAAATATAAGGTCTAAACTCCACTGGTCATGCAAAAATAGAAACATCAAGGCTACGAGCCCATGTGCTTTCACCTTTAGAGACATCAAAATTCAAACTTATTGCCAAAACCTATATACTTGAAAGCAATACTGTCATGCGTTGTTCAAAACCAGCATGCTCGAATGTTCTGCTTAATCTTTCATTCAAGAAAATTGAAATTTATATGTCAACATGGCGGCTAACCCACATCACTTCTGAAACGAAACTGAGTAGGAACCAGTATTTGGATCTTTAACTGCTTTGAAGTTGTCGACACTCATACCAAATCGACCCAAAATGGAATTTCCCATTTCTTTGAGCTTGCCTGTAATAAATACAAATCATTAACATCAAAAGAACCACAAAATAGAAGTGATCAATGCACGTGATTAATAAGTGCCTACACTGCTTGAAAGTAAACCGAGGTATCGTGATAAACTGAATACCATACTTTGTCTTGGATCAAACAGTAACAAAGGTGTTAATACACAAACCAAAACTTAAGATGATACAATCAGTCGAAGAGAGATCAAATAATCAGGGACCTACGAGCTAAAAGGCAATTTCATGGAGTCCAGAACAGTAGCTATAGTACATTTGGCACGGAAGTGCATTAATCAGCATCACGAGATTATAGCGGTAAAGCACATAACATATGGTCTTCCTTTTTTCCTTGTTCTTTTAGTTTCTTGATGAGTCATACTAAGTTAACTGTAGCAGCAGCATTGCTCAGCAGATGAGTCACACTGGGTTAGCTTTCACACAAGCTTTACCCAAATTTTTACTTAAATGGGACTCTTTTTTAATAAGGAAAAAAAAGGTCACATTTAAGTAAAAATTTGGGCAAAGTTCTATGAGACTTATGGAATCCAGAGTTCAAGATTTACTATCACATGTTTCTCCAGTGCCAGGAAATGTGTAATTGCACTTATATATGATATTTTTTGATAAGGACACTTATGTATGATGTTAGCTAATGCATTACTATGCTTTTTGATAGGTTAGAGCAGTATGACCTTATGAAATCTAAGATGTGCATGGTAAATGCCACAGTTAATTGTCTCAAGTTAAAAACTACTGAAAGTCTATACTATAGTACAGACTAACGTCACAGCCAATTTCCTGAGTTAAAAACTGCTGTCTGCCAAAGTCTATACACTTTATTTTTTTGATACTAAACAAAGTCCATACAGTAGCAGATTACTCTAGGCCCATAAAACATTACTGGCTGGCCTCATAGCCATTTTTTCTTTAATCACTATGAGGCCAATTGCCTAAAGAATCCAAGAACATCATGAGGCCTTCCGCACAAAGAATACAGACAAATGAATGATGTGAAAAGTTAGGAGACTAATTGCTAAAGCATGTAAGTCATGTTCAATCTTCGCCAAACAACTAGCCTGAGAAGCAACACGGAATCTCTGAGTGCAAAAACATAGTAGTCCCCAACCATGTGAATGACACACTTATCTATTTAGCTTTTTGCTGTTTGTTTCCATAATTGGCCAGGAGTTAGTTAGACACGAACTAGATATCCTTCTCACGGACCAACATAAATAAGTGGGAAGAAATGTCAAACCATTAACAATTCTATAGGAAAGAATCTCTACTATATAAAGTTAAATAAGAAAAGAAAATAGAGAATTAGTCCATGTCAAGACAGGAGATTGTTAAGCTCACCAATCATCTCTTCTTTCATCTTTTCTCGCTTCTCATCAGCTAATGGCTTTAAACGCATCACACTTCTCCTAACTTGGTCATTTGAGGGTTCCAATTCCAAGATCTTTGTCATGTCTGCAAGAATTTTTTTTAAAAAAGGGAATAAATAAGAACAGAAGAAAAGAGCCGAAGTAGAACTCCAATTTTTTAATTATTCACCAATAACATGAACTATTTGAGTGGTGTGCAATTATTACCAGAGGCACATGAGTAACATACAGTGCCTCTTTTTGTTTATTCTTTTTCCAGGTCAGAGTGTGGAAGAGAGAATAGACATAGAAGAACCTGGTTGAAAAACACAAGATCTCCACCAGATATCCCCTTAAATGAGTATGAATATTAGTTATTTAGTCATGTAGTGATGCAGCTAAGAAGAACCAATTACAATGACATTATACTGAACAATCATACTACAATTTCAGAATCCAATGTTTACCAGTAATAGCCTCATCATAGTGTTCAAGCTTTTCATGTGCCTCTGCTCTTCTAACCAGAGCCTTCATATATGTAGGATTTAGTTCTAATGCTTTTGTGCATTCCTTGATTGTCTCACCATGTTTTCCCTGTAAATGAAAAAGTATAATCGATATCATTAGTAGATGCAACAAAAACTCACACAGATAAACACATTCATATCTTACAAACTTCACTCGGAAAAGTTAAAAACAAAGATATGGGAAAAGCAGAGGGAACATTGTGGAAATTTCTTTAATATAAAGGGAAACAAAAATGGGGAAAAGCAGACCTTAAAAAATATGCACATACCCTTTAAGATTATGGAATATAAGTTTGATTTCCTGTTCAACACAACGACAGGTGACCTTTTTCTGATAAGGTAAGCTATTTTACTAAGATAGCAAGTTCACATACACAATTACAACATCATCTCCTCCAAAAATTGCAAAAGAAAAGCTGGGTTTTCCATCATATTGATACTACACCATAAGCACAAAGACCGTAAACACCCTATAAGCTGGGTTTTCCATCATATTGATACCACACCATAAGCACAAAGACCGTAAACACCCTATACTTTACACAAGTAGACTGAAGTTTCTTTCCATCATCTATTGTTTCATTATGACAAATGACTTTCACATCAGTAAAATGAGTCTCATATCGTGTCTACGTCTAGTTTACCTCCAAAATTTATAAGGTATGAAATTCAAACATTTTATGTCAGATATAGGGGTATGACATGATTTTTCCATCATATGTTTACTAAGAGATTATTTCTTTTGAAATATGTCGCTTACATCAGATCCCATGATGTTTGTCATGAGTTCTTTTAGTTTGGTTAAAGATTTGTATATTAGCGATAAGTGAGAAACACTTAATTTTAAGAACCATTACTGGTCGTTTTTTACTGTTTTATATAAGTAAAAGTTTATTGATGTGAACATGAACTCTGCATGCAAGATGTATAAAAGGGTTAAAGAATCCTATAAACGTATAGAATCTCTAATTCAAGAACCAAACTAGTTTGGGATTGGGGAGTTTATTGATGATTGATTGATTCAATGTTAGAAATTTTGACATAAATATTCCAAGAAGTCTTATATGTACGTAGCTGCAATGTTTTTCATATATACTTGGACAAAAGAAAAGGCAAAGATCCTCCCAAGAATTTCCAGTAAATTTATCTTTACATCAACGATATGTCTCATTCAAACATGTTATGTATAAGGATGATAAAATGTTTTTAATCCATACACCTAATTTATAAAGAGAAGAGCTGAGAATAATTATCACAATGTACCAAAGAGGCAAAAAATAATCTAAACCACACCAAATTTATAAGGAGAAGAGCTGATATTTCTTTCTCAAAAGATTCTAGGCAATTGTCACGAATGAAAAGTTACAATATTACAACTAAACATAGTGATCTAGGCATTGTACTTCCACATTAGAAAGTATTAAATCTTAAGCAAGAAATCTGATCAGGTTGGAAGTCAATAATTCATCAAGTCGGACCAACTAACATTATCAATATATAAAATATTAAGTAAGATGGTTTTACCTTTTCCAAAAAAAAAAAGGAGATACTGTTCAATATAGTACCCTACAGATTGTCCAACACAAAATAGTTTATAAAAGATGAGAATAGAAGAGAAGTTTTGTCTCCTTCAATGGACGGTATACTTCCTCTGTTCCACATAACAGCTAATATTTCTCTTTTCATCCCACTTTCATCAAAAGTACAGGAAAGAGGATCAAACAGAAGTTAGGCAATCATTGCTCACACTAATGACCAGTTTAACAAGACCGAAGAACACTACTTCCGTCTCATCATCTGTGGCTTGGTGTGGCTTAGACGTACTAGTTATCCTGGTCCTTAACATGTCTTTTATATGTCTTGGCTCATCACATATCACTACATAAAGTACCTAAACAACAAGGAAGTGAGGTCTGCAGTCAACGCCTCCCTAGACCATCCTTATGCCACCCCTGCCCAAACTACAACCACCTTTCTTAGCCCCAGACTCAGCCAGCCTCCACTACCGCCCCCGTGACAATGCCCTCCCCAGTCTCAAGACTTGTGATACGACCTTCTTCATCCAATTTACCTAATTTCCCTCCGCACCATTCCCACTGCCCCTCCAACTGTCAGATTAAATAGATCTCCGAATCAAAGTTTACAAGCCACTGCAAGTACAGATGGAATACTATCATCTCAACTCAGACCTGCCATTCAGCAAGACACAAGAACGTAGGTGGAAAGGGAAGAGAATACAATTTACTGAATAGAGACAGCAAAATTGATAAGGTTATTATAGATTTGAGTAAATTGGGTTTTGGGGGTAAATCCTACAGTTTTTCTCGTCAATTTTAGATGCTAACTTCAGATAAATGATAATGCAGACAAAAATCTGCTGTGACTGAAATTGAATATCTGCAGAAATAGTTGCAGATGAAACAGCACAAACAGAAATTAAATGAAATCACCTATGAGTAATACTAGCTACCTGAAAACAAAAGGGAACAAAAAACCAAACCTAAGGTAACCACAATGAAACAGTATGGTTCACAAATGAGAGACATCAGAGCTAATGACATTGGTGAAAGCTATTATCGTTAAATAACAATAGAGCACTAGTTATCATACAAGGGAATCTCGTAGTCCGCCTATCAGTTGATGCACTTCAATCATATGCTCACTCAGAAGTAGTGGTGGCAATGGATTAAAAAAATAGTTATACATCCATATTATCCACTAAAAATGGGTTGGATAATAAACTTTTTAAAAACGGATCAAAAAAACCGTATTATCTACTTAATAATGGATAACCAATGGATAACCCATGGATAACTAATGGATTTAACTTTTACATTTGTAAAGATTCAAATTGGGGCCTCAAGTTTGGGAGACTAGGAATTCTCCCAAAAGTGATCATATTCAAGAAGCCGTGGATATCCATATTATCCGTCGGTTAACCCATTTTCTATACCCGTATTAAATATGGGTCGGGTCGGATAATTTATCCGTTTCTGCATTACCCGTACCCAACCCGTCCATTTGCCACCCCTACTCAGAAGGATGAACTCTTTCTACATACTGTAGAATTTAACAGTTCCACACGAATGGTATTGCGTAAAGCCATATTAGCATAGAATATGATGTGACATCTTTCTCATAGTCTACACCCCTCTCCATATATTTCAGCTTCGAGATTTGCTTTAAGCATATCCCAGACCAGATATGAGAGTCATTCAAACTTAACTATCAGGCCCATTCAAAGCAAGTTTAAAGGGGTTTAGAAGACAAGACTATTACTAGTTTTTTCCTTAGCTGATCAGAATTTCTGTTTGATCAGGTAAAGTTAATCACATTGACATCCATCAACAAGAGTATGTTGGGAAACCTATATGGAATAGCTCTTTTACAGGTTGCGTAAAGAGCTCAACAATCAGACATTACTTCTACTAGCCAGTTAGAATTGTTAATATCCAGTACATATAGGGTGACAGGTCTCTTTTGAATGTTCAAACCCACAAGTTCAAGTGATCAGCAAAAGCTGCAAACATTGATTTCAATATTTATTAGTCACCTAACTAAATTGCTATACTAAAAGCAGTAAGAATCTGAGTGGGAAGTTGCAAATCAATGAAGAGCTATACAGTAACAAACAGATGCCAAATGTAAAAGCTCCTGACAAGTTTGGTGAACTATTCTACAGAAAAACTAACCTATCAGCACTTCCAAACCATGGAAGAATTTTGACATAATAAAATCTGATACAGAGTGCACATAATGCATACGCCGAGCTTACCAGTTTAGAGAAACAAGCTGCACGATTAGCATGGCATATTGAACGAATTTCACTACTTGAAGGAACATCTGCTGCAACTTGTAATGCTAGCTCATATTTAGACAATGCCTCTTCAAAAAGCCCATCCTTAAACAATGTATTGCCTTCAATTTTTGCATCATTTGCTTGAGCCAAGGCTTTCTGCTTCTCAAAATGAAAGAATCATATTAATAATTGTTGAGAGTGATTATCTTAGTACAGTTTCACCAACTAAGAAGGGGAAGAACATTTCCCAAAAAAAAAGGGCAGGAGTAATAGTTGAAACAGCAATATGAAAAACATATTAACAAGAGAAAGAAGGCCAGGCAGGTCGGATTCACACAAGTACATTTATGATGAAATTCCTCAATGTCGAATAGGAAAAATCATATGGGAAAAAGATATAGTTGTTAAATTTGAATGACCCACAAAAGAAAAGGATCATCTATTTCAGTGCCACTTTTACCCCAAGGCCCAGGGTTGAAAACAAATGTCAGCTAGATTTTCTACACAAGCTTCACATTTTCTAATCTTCGATTTGGGATGGAGGCACTTCTTCGCAGCAACTTACCTAATATTGGAAGGCATTCATTTCCCCAAGCTAAAGGAGGCAAGTAATCTTTCTTTTTTTTTTTTGGACTTCGCGATTTATGTTTTTTTTAACAAGATCGTGATTTACAGAATGTAGGACAAGAACGGTCAGAATAGAGATATTAAAATGCTAGTAAATGGTTGCTTCGCTATCATTTAACTTCTTAACGTACTAATATTCTCCTCTTAATGTTGATGTTAAGGTGATGGCAAGAAAAAATCAACATACACATACAGAAAGTCCATCTATAAAGAGATACACCCTCTTCCTACAATGTTATAAACCCCATTAGCACAATTAATGAAATCATATAGCGTAAAAAATTCAGAATACTAAAGTATTTTTTAGGGTATAGCGAAGCTATGTGCTATACACGGGTATATTTATATATTTAGAATTTTCTTTTTCCTTTTTTATTACACAAGGTAGAAAATCCATTTTATATAGTCCCTAATCTCATTCTCTCATGATCTTTGATTTTCATTGTTTCCTCTTTCCATTTCTTTCTTATTTATGAGATCATTTCCTTTTCATGAGTCAAACCAAGCCACTCTGCTGCAACCCAATAAAGATATAAGGAATAGAAAAAACCTATTCCAACCACATTAGCTAATCGATTTGATCAATCATTTCAATAGACTCGTAACTTGGTTACACTGCACTAATGCTTTCAACGCTATCTGGTGCATTTCATTGATGCACTTAACATAATTCACTAGAGAGTAAAATTGCAGGTATACAACACAACATTAGAGACAACATTTGACTTTCTTAGCTGAAACTGACTTGGGTGAGGACAGGGACAGTCTTAGAGACAATCACCAGCTGGAAGTTAAAAGAATCACCAAATAAAAGAAAGCAAATTGGAAGACCATACTATTGGTTATTTCTTGGAAGATTTGGAATGTAAGGAATAGACAACTTCCCATAGCTGTGACAAAGATATGTTTTTCAATAATTGAAGTTTCATAAATATACATCACGAAGGTGTCAAGTACACAATTGTAACATGTTACAGTATCACAAGACATCCCTAGCTGCGAAAAGATATGGGATACATCAAAAGACTCTGAATTTCATATCACTTTTTGGTGTAAGGAGAAGATACTATTATGTACAGATAATTCGGGCTAATTAATTGTTTGTGTCTGCAGTAGAGCCACTCAATCATCACAAAAACATCTGCTATTTTCTGACACCGCCATGGAGTAACATAAATAAAATGAAATTTAACTTACCAAAACAAGAAAAGGAATCACTAGAGAGAATTTCAACAAACTGAGAAATGAATTCCTCCATTCTAATCTCGAATTAGCAGGCTTTAAATTCTAATCACTGATTTTTTTTCCAATGCACATTGCAACATTTAATAAAAAAATCATTAACTAAGGAACTCAACAAACATTAGTATACAAAATATACAAGTTGATTAACCTAAATTAAACTTGCCTAAACTAGTAGCAATCACTCTACAATACCAAACAACAACGAAAAATAGCAACACGAATTAATCAACAAAATAAAGGTGCGAAATAATAAAACCTAACCTCATTCAACTGTTCTAGATTTGTTTCCGGCTGCTGCGTCTTCTCCTTCAAATCGCCATCAGAAGAAGACGACGCCGTATTGACTGTTTTTTCAGATTCTCTATTACTTCCATTTCCGGTCTCGTTCAGTTCGGTATCGCTCGCTGTTTCGTATCCATCGGAGGCGTTACCAGACGGCGCTTTCTCCGCCGCCGCCGCCGAAGAACTGTCGGCGGGCGGCGAAACATTTGTGGTCGTTGATTCAGATGTTTGTCTAGGTTTGGAGTTTGATTTTGCTTCTTCAGAAGCTACTTCGATTAACACCATTTTTTTTAGCTTCTGACTTCTTCTGGAAGTTTCCTCTGTGGGTATTTGAAGAGGAAGAAGGAGAACTGATTTGCTTGTGAATCGAGAAAGCTGTGTTTTAAGCAGGGTATCCCACGACGCCGTTTCAAAGTCATTAATGCCGTAGCCACTTTTGGGCCTGCTTTTAAAGTTTAGCCAGTATTTGAAATTTAATAATAGTCACTTTTTAATGCAGAACCAAAATTTGGATAAAAATATCCCTACTTAATACACGAAACAACTTCTGGAACGAGTACTGAAGTTTGAACATTTATTAGTTCAATCGCATAATTTATTCTTGAGGTTCTAATATTCTCTACTAGGGGTGGCAAGTGGGTCGGGCCCGGTCCTAAGTGGGCTTCGCGGATCCGATCCTAAGTGGGCCGGTCCTATGCGGTCCGGTCCTAAACGGTCCTGGGTTTCGCGGGCTTATTGCTGGAACCGGCTCGGGACCGGGAC